TCTACATTACAACTAGTTGTGGGACTGGGTTGCAATGTCACTTGACCTGGTTAAAAACCACTTGTAAATTGTAATGTAGATGGGAACTGATCATGTCCCCATAACTGAACTAAAGCTTTGGACAGGTCTGGGTTTAAGTGAGCTACAGGGACACAGGTCACATCTACAAAACTTCTAACTGCACTAAATCCTGACTCAGTTATAGCTGTTGTACAGATTGGTCCTCAAGGAAAAAATAATTGGGCTGAGGCACTTTCTAAAAATATGCTTCCCTCTCTTCCCATTGCGGCTGTGTTGGGAGGTCAATGACTAAAATACGTCTTGATCCTTCCGTCCATTTTAGTCTTCTGATTGCAGCTCTTTTAAGAGGTGCCAGTTACAACTGAGGTAGACGAGTGCCATCAAATAAGCATCCTATGTTCTGTGGAGTTTTCAAAAGTGCTCAGTATTGGCCTAACTCTGCTGCTGTTGAAATCACTGGGAGCTTAGAGGTGTTTAGATCTGGGGTGGGGAGCATTAGACAAATAGGTAAGCTGCTAAATTCAGATTCTGAATGTCCCAGAGTCTGGGGGGCTTCTTTAAGGTCTAATTTTAATCTGTCTCTCTTCACTTGCTGTTGCTGTACTGTCCCTCACTTGACTGTTTTGTTTCTCTTCCATCAGTACTACCAGTCAGCACGCAGAGAACTCCTGCAAAAGTCTCCATGGTGGGTAGCCCATGCATTTCCTCACCCCGGCCAGCAGCTTGTGCTCCCAGCTATGCTGGGGACCTTCCTCTTTCTACCAACACTCCAACATTCTCTCTCAAAAACCCAACAGTCGAGGCCCACACTCCAGCGAAGCAAAGCAAAGCCATATCAGGCACTTCTCCCAAACCATCATCTTCCACCAAGATGTCCATTAAACACTGGGTTACCAGGACTCCATACTCCTCTCCACCAGGGATGGGAACAAAGACGCCTTCTCCAAGAAAAGCCCTGGCAGAGGTCACACAGGGTCTTCCAGAGGCAGTTGGCACCCCCGTAGCACCACACTCACGGTTTGAGAAGCGAGCCAAAAGGAGGCTGGAGTCCAGCAAGGGAGATCACATGGGGCAGAAGTGTCTGAAAGGCTGCAGTTGTGTGACTGAGCTGGACCCAGTGGCTAAAAAATCCAAGCTGGATTTGTGCTTCTTGGCAGCAGGCCAAAAGGCCTGTAGTGAAGACTGTCTGAGCCTTGCTGAGTTGAATAATGGAACTGAAGGCTGTGGCCAGAGCCCAAAGGAGACATCCCTTCCTGAAAGCCCTCTTAATCAGGCAGGCTTCCAGACTCCCCCTCTTCCTTTAAAGAACTCCTGCAGGAAAGGGGCTGATGTGCTGGACAAAGAGAACAGTTCACCTGGGGAAAAAAACTGGCTGTCTGCAATGGGAGAGAAGCTGAAGACTAGCAAGGCCAGTAGCCAAAAAGCATCAGGCAATAGCCCCCCATCCTCTCGGAGTCCCAGCACAAGACAAGAGGCAGCGACTGCAGCCAGTCCATCGGGATCTGTAAGTAGACTAGGCATGGTTACAACAGCAGAGAAACGGTTGAACTCTGGGTTCTGTTCTCTCCTTGCTGTGTTGCACAACTCCCATTTGCAACTTGTGCATCAAAAGGAGCATCAGACCTCATTGCTTGTGGGGAGGAGGGGAAGGGGAGAGGAAGGAAGGGAAATCTGATATAACAAGCCCCAGTATCTCTGCCGTTCAGGGTAATGATGTTATCCTTCAGTGCCACCCGTACTCTTGGGAGAGAGAAACAGAACTGGTTTTGCTCAACTGAAAATGATTTAGAACAGAGTATTGGAAAATGCTCATTATCTATGACACTGGCACTTACAATGCACTTCTACTCTGAAAATAACAACAGCACTTACTTGACAGATCTGCTGCTTACATTTTTTTAATTTTTTTTTATCTGCCCACTTACGTGACATAAATTGGCCCCCCCTAGCACTGCAGACCCAACCCAGCTTTTGGAGAAAGTGCGCTGAATTTTATTCTAGCTCTTGTATCAATTTGTAAGTCTGTAACAATTGTGGGACTAAATTCTACCCTCGGTTACATCTGTGGAAAAACCATTGAAAACAAAGGGATTGCACAACTGTCAGAGGGCAGAACTTGGCCTTCAGACTCCTTACTATTTGTGTTGTGCAAGAAAGCAGGAACCCAGCCTGACTGTCAGATCCTAAGGTGCATCTGCAGAGTGGTTACAATGGTTGGCATATGGGGAGTTTTTTGTGCTTTAGAGCAAGTTCTCAATTTGCATGTTGTCACTGAATCAATACACATGGAATCCCATGATGCCTGTAACTTCCGAAATCAGTTTTCAGAGGACTGCTGAGCTTTGTTTATAAAACTGATAACTGAAGTATGATTATTACAATCGTTAAAAAAAACCGAGGAGTCCTTGTGGCACCTTAGAGACTAACACATTTATTTGGGCCTAAGCTTTCGTGGGCTAGAAGCCACTTCATCAGATGTATGAAGTGAAAAATACAGGAGCAGATATAAATACATGAAAGGATGGGGGTTGCTTTACCAAGTGTGAGGTCAGTCTAATGAGATAAATCAATTAACAGCAGGATACCAAGGGAGGAAAAATAACTTTTGAAGTGGTAAGAGAGTGGCCCATTACAGACAATTGACAAGAAGGTGTGAGTAACAATAGGGAGAAATTAGTATTGGGGAAATTAAGTTTAGGTTTTGTAATGACCCAACCACTCCCAGTCTTTATTCAGGCCTAATCTGATGGTATCCAGTTTGCAAATTAATTCCAGTTCTGCAGCTTCACTTTGGAGTCTGTTTTTGAAGGTTTTTTTGTTGAAGAATTGCCACTTTGAGGTCTGTTATTGAGTGACCAGAGAGATTGAAGTGTTCTCCTACTAGTTTTTGAATGTTATGATTCCTGATGTCAGATTTGTGTCCATTTATTCTTTTGCATAGAGACTGTCCGGTTTGGCCAATGTACATGGCAGAGGGGCATTGCTGGCACATGATGGCATATATCACATTGGTAGATGTGCAGGTGAATGAGCCCCAGATGGTGTGGCTGATGTGGTTAAGTCCTATGATGGTGTCCCTTGAATAGATATGTGGACATAGTTGGGACCGGGGTTTGTAGCAGAGTTTGGTTCCTGAGTTGGTGTTTTTGTTGTGTGGTGTGTAGTTGCTGGTGAGTATTTGCTTCAGGTTGGGGGGCTGTCTGTAAGCGAGGACTGGCCTGTCTCCCAAGGTCTGTGAGAGTAAGGGATCGTCCTTCAGGATAGGTTGTAGATCCTTGATGATGTGCTGGAGAGGTTTTAGTTGGGGGCTGTAGGTGACAGCTAGTGGCGTTCTGTTACTTCCTTTGTTGGGCCTGTCCTGTAGTGGGTGACTTCTCGGTACCCTTCTGGCTCTGTTATTTATTAGTTATTTTTCCTCCCTTGGTATCCTGCTGTTAATTGATTTATCTCGTTAGACTGACCTCACACTTGGTAAAGCAACCCCCATCCTTTCATGTATTTATACCTGCTCCCATATTTTTCACTTCATACATCTGATGAAGTAGGTTCTAGCCCACGAAAGCTTATGCCCAAATAAATTTGTTAGTCTCTAAGGTGCCACAAGGACTCTTCGTTTTTTTTTTTTGCTGATACAGACTAACATGGCTACCACTGAATACAATCTTTAGTTACACCAGAATTTGAAACTTGATGGTAGAATAGAATTTGGGCTACAAATTATCTTTGAAATTGTCATAATGACTAGGGCTTATCTTGGTAAAATCCCTTCCTTTGACCTAAGTTTTGTCTCTCACCAGCATTTGGGCTCATACAGAGTGCTAACAATACAGGCCATTCAGTAATGCACTTCAGAGACTTAGTCCTTTCATGATTGAATGTCTTTCTAAACAACATACTCTAGCTCTACCTCAGGTTGGTCTTGATGCAAATGAAAAATCTATGGCCCCAGACTAAATGATCATAATGATGTCTTCTGGTCTTAAAAATCTATGAAATTTTGTATCTGGTGCAGACAGGGTAAAAACTAGAGCCTCTGGCTCTTCTCATAGAACAGAAGGGTAACTCCAGGATTTTAGCAAATGTTTCCTGTCACTAAATAGGATCCGAATGTCCCAGAAGCCATACAAATTATTGCAAAGAACATAATGGTTGTCCTTTTAACAGTATGTAACTTGGCAGCTCCTCGGCATAGGCAAGCTGTTGCAGTTATGGAGGGGAGAAGCTTAAAAGACTTTTACAGTGCGTGCAGAGTTTAACCTGGAAGAACTAGATGGGGACATCTACTGTCAAATACACATGTTTATACTTGACTTGAATCTCTTCTAGGTTGCAGTCACTTCAGTTTCCATGAGGAAGATCTGCACGTACTTCCATCGAAAGTCACAGGATGACTAGTGCAGTGTGCTGCATTTGAAAGGAACTGTAGCCCTGATTGTTGACACACTACTGGTGCTACCAAGAGTGGATTTAGCAACACAGAAGGAGGAAGACACTAGGATTAGCCAATGCATTGTTGGCCCTTAATAAAGTTGGATTTTTTTTATTCTCTTGTTCTTCGAATTCTTTTATAAAATCTGTTACACTTTGTAGCCTCAAGTTAGTTCAGCATGAAACGCGTAGAATGCTAATTAATGGAGACTCACGCCATTAACATGAAGTTAATGGTGATGGATTTTAAAATATATGTTTTCTTTTAACACGTCACTCAGTTAAATGTTCCCTCGTGAGTTCTTTTTCACATGGCATCTGTGAAATGCTCTAGTTATCTTTAGAAACAGCATCTTTGATGTGTGTTATTAACATAGTCAAATACAGCTTGTCAGTTGATATTTGTTTTATGATGTCTGATCTTGAAACTTTTGTACTTAAGAGCACTATGCAAAACACATACCATCTCCTTTTGATAGCAGCTGAATAGAGATGTCTGTGGAGAAACTGTTGTTGCAGATAGACTGGAGCCACCATTTCTGCTAAAGGATATTTCTACAGCTTGTTTTTCTTGTATAGCAATGACTCTCCCATTTCAGCAAAGAAGCCTGTAAATGTGACTTAAATTCCTGTAAATACAAAACATTTTAATGTTCCAGAGTGTCTGTCTTACTTTTCCAGTGGTTCATGTAGTTCTTGCAGTGTGAGAAAAGATACAGTATAGCTAAGGGCATTTTTGCCTCCTTTTTAAAAAAATTCCCCTCTCCCACCATCTCCCAAGTTTGCTGCTTTCCATACTCCAGCCTCTGCTAGCCCAAGGACACCCATGATAGTCTTGTAACCATGGAGAGCATGGCTGTCGAGGCTGGAAGCCTGATCGTCCCTTTTAAATCAAGTGTTGTCAAGGTCAGTTAGAAGTTATCAGATTTTAGTCTATCCCAAACAAAACTGGCTTTAGGAGAAAGCATTTCATACTAGCTTATTGAGCTTTTATGGATGTAAATTGTAGCATAACTGTCTTGATGTTAGAGGCAGGGAAAAAAACCCACTTCACAGAGTTTAGGTTGTAATACTAATATTAATGCTTAAAAGGCTTGGATTGGAGAATAATGTATATAATTGGGTAGTGTGATTATGGTTGGCTGTCCCAAATGGGGTCAGGATTCTGCAGCTAAAGCTCTTTGTCACCACCGCTGGTTGTTCAGACTGAAACATCTTGCTGGTGCTAAAACGTAATGAAGGAACACTGAGGTGTAATGAGCCAGACAGAATTCAAATAGATACGTTACGCTAATAATGACTAACTCACAAGTTATTGGTTCAATACAGGAGTAACTGGCTGAAATTCTAAGGTCTGTATTTTACAGGAGGTCAGACTAAATGATCTAATGGTCCCTTCTGGCCTTAAAAATCTATGAAAGTCTGTCTATTTCAAGCCTCAGGATTGCAGACCTCCTGAAAGTTATTTAAAGAAACACAATAGAATTAAGTCACATTTTTGTCTGAAACTTTTGCACCTACTAATGTTAAATGACATATTTCTATAACTGAAATGGATTAGAAGAAAAAAGTTGTATATTTTCCCGGTTTATATTTTACTGTGTGCATTGGAAAGCACTTTATGCATCCGAAGAAGTGGGTTGTAGCCCACGAAAGCTTATGCTCTAATAAATTTGTTAGTCTCTAAGGTGCCACAAGTACTCCTGTTCTTTTTGCGGATACAGACTAACACGGCTGCTACTCTGAAACCTGTCTTTATGTACTCTGTTTCACTGAGTCTCCTGTATCACCAATTTCTCTTTACACAGCAAGGAGGGAGAGAAATACACTATGTTTAATAAAAAAAAAAAAATGTGATAGTAAAACTGCACTGTTGGCAGGAAGACTCAAAGACAGGTATAGAACCTGAAATTACTTTCTAATTTTTGTAACATTGACTCAGTTTCAAGTTGACAGCAGCCATCTAGCTTTGGAGAAATATCAAACTAACATTAAATTGGATAAGTAAAATATACTTCAGCCATTTATTAAACCTCGCTTCAAAAACTGGAACCTTTAAGTGGTGTCTGAGTCAATCCAATATCTTGAGCTAACTAAGACTAAAAAAGCCTGACACTTTGATGTTCAAAAGTAGCTCACCATTAAACTTGACCTTAAAGGGTGGGAGGAATTGAAACTTAACGTAGAGGGCAAACTAAAGTCAATAGGACAGTTTAATGTTCTGCTAAGTATCTTACACACGTGTAAGCAAACTCTGCTGATTTGTACTCTGTATTACCAGCAGTTTCAGTGGGGCTGCATAACAAGTATAAACTCCCACAGAAATTCCATGGGTGTCCGTCCGTCCGTCCGTCCCCTCCACAGCTTTGTGAGAGGTTACAGTTGTGAGGGGATAGGATGGTGAGGGTGAAATTCTGGTCCTCTTGAAGTGAATCCCTCTCATACTTTTAATAATATCTTCCTCTTCTGGGAATAACTCCCACACCTAAACCCTTACTCATCTCTACTCCTCAGCTGATTATTCAGGGGTTTAGAAGTGTAAATGGGCAAATACCTGGCCAGATAATCTTCAGGTGGAATGTGAGAGCCCTTCTCCTTTCATGGCAGCTCTGCACAGCTTCTTACCCCAAGCACACAAAATCAATTTGGCTAACACTATGAAGACACAGAACATAACTGAATCCCTTATTCTTATGTCGTCAAAGTGACACAGTCTGATCCTGACAAAAAGCTTGGCTCCAGGGGAATAGGAAAGGAATTGTTAGTATGAATCACTTGGTTTGTGATGTGACAGTCTCTTGTTTTCAGACTGAGGAGAAATCCATAATGTGGTTTAGAACTAGTAATGTCTTTACCTAGGGCATCTGCTCAAGCATTTAATATGTATGTCCCCAAGCAACTGAACCCACCTGCCTGTCTTGAAAGAGCCAAATGTATTTCTAAAACAGGTTTTCTCCTACATGATCCCCAAATACTCTCTAGCCTCAGATGTCCCCAAAAAAACAAATTAAAAATTCTCCATAATAAATTATTCCAAAATCCTAGTATTCTAGCTCTCCTCTGTTCCCTACAGGAGTGCTGGTTCTCTTCCCAATAGTCTTATGTGGTGTGCCTTATGTTCTTTGCCATCTTTTTCATGCTGGAAATTCTGCTGCAGATGTCACACGTCCAGTCTGAATTGTCTGGCCTCTTAATTATGCCTTGGTTAGTCCTCCTTGTATCTTCCCTCTCCCTAGAGATTGATTTCTATAAGTCACCTTTCAGCACTATACTGTTGTGGTATTTGGTGAATATTTGCACACCTATTCTATTGAATGTGGCAAAGATATTTGCAAGAATTTAGATTGTGATGTGCTTCCTGAATCACGGGGCAAATAGAACTTTTTCAGAAATGCCTAAGTGAGACTATAGGTAAAATTTTCAAGTGTCACCTAAATCACTTTTGAAAATGGTACTTAAGAGCCTAAATCACTTATGCTTTTTTTAAAGCGTGACCCATAATTGTGCTGGCAATGATGTGTTTCAGATGCACATCCCCTCTTAAGACTCTACTTATTGCGACTGTTGGAACTAGTGTCCATTTTCCTGTTAATGTTTGTATCAGATTCTTCTGGCTGGTTAAATTAATGTTTCCATATGAAAGTTTTGAATTGTTGAACCTAGGATTAAATATCTTATCTATCCTGTTCTGTATTTGGGAATTTAATTGTGTGATACAATTTTGCTTTGGAAACAAGCATTCCCCAACCAGGAATTTGCCATGAGAATCCATTAGACACCCACACGTGCCACCATGTTCAGAGGTCCCTTTGTTGCAGTCACATGCACTCTGAGGTCTCTTCCAAAAGTGTCTGATCTTTCAATATTTCTCAAGGTCAAGTCTTAAAAAGACTCGTAGATTCCACTGCTTTGGCACTAGGTGGGAAGCAGAGCTTGGGAGTCTGTCTGTCCCCAGGTCTATTGTGCTCAAGGCATTTTAATGCTGACTTGAGCACTTGTCGATATGAGAGGTAAATTGTCAGCCTCTAATTCTTTTCAATCTCTCAGTTAGTAAAATAAACAAATGACTTCTTACCCCAGTGTAGCATTTTTGTGCATCATGCAGAAAACTATTGCTCATTGACCTCCTTTGGATTTCTTTGACTTCCCAGCCTGCAAGATAGACCAAATGTCAGATTTTGGGCATAGAAGGTGTTATGTTACTCAGTAATCTCTTTCATGGGTTTGGAATAGCCATAGAGTGGCTTTGACCATAACCAGTGCTCTGTTTGGACAGTGGAAAAAGCCAGAGATCATAGAAAAAAGTGAGCGAATAAAGCCAGACCCAAGGATGGGAGGGAGCACACCTCCATGGTTTATTTTAAAGTAGTGTGTCTAAAGGGATGCTGAAGGGGAATAGACCCAAAGTTCACTTGGGAGATTTTTTTTTTCTTTGAAAAGGGAAGGTGGGGTGAGGAGTAATGCCAGTAGCTTTCTAGCAATGAGCTCTACAATACTAAAGCAGCATGAACCTAGGAAGATGAAACCAAAATTCTGCTTGGGAACTACATTTCATTTCTAAACTTCCAACTGGTTGTTTTTAAACAGAACAAAAATCTCTTAAAATTATGTAAACTTTTTTTTTGCTTTTTCAGGTTAAGGAAACAACTCTCAGTTTGAGGCCATGAATAGATTACTATAGAAAGATCCTGTTATCCCAAGCTTCTGCAGATATTCATAGATTTTGAAGGCCAGAAGGGCCCATTATGATCATCTAATCTGACCACCTGCATAACACAGGACCCAATAATTTCTGCATCAAACCCATAACTTCTGCTTGAGCTGTAGTACCTCTTCTAGAAAGATATACAGTCTTGATGTAAAGACTGCAAGTGATGGAGAATTCACCACATCCCTAGGTAAGTTGTTCGCATGGGTAATTACCTTTGCAGTTAAAAAATCTGTATCTTATTTCTAGTCTAAAATTGTCTGACTTCAGCTTCCAGCCACTCAATCTCATTCTGCCTTTTCCTAGTAGGTTGAAGAACTGTCTACTGTCAGAAAATCTCTTCCTTATGTAGGTATTTGTAGACTGTGATCAAATCACCTCTTAACCTTCTCTTTGAACTAAATAGTTTGAGGGTATTTCAGTATTTAGCAGTTTAAAGGCCTAAGTGAAGTACCTGAGGGCCCACCCCTTTCCCCCTGCCATAATACCACAGCTGGGTGCCACTGGTGTAAATGAGAAGGAGCTGCTGGCGGGTCTTCTGGGGGGTCCTACAGCTTGGGACTTGCTTCCCCAATGTTGGTCTGAAAAAGTGCAGGAGGTGAATAGTTAGGTAGTGAAGCTTTAGCTATCCAGTTGCCTGGATTTTTGGTTTGGATCACAGAGCATATAGCTGCTGTCTAGTTGCATGGGAGGTCTATTGCCCATGTCTTTAATGCTGAGGCTGCTCAGAGCACAGGGATAAGTATGCCCTTTAATTTGTAAATATCTAAATAAGTAAAGGCAAATTGACCTAGCAGAATATAGAATTCTTCTGTTGCAATACCTATGCCTACACAACAAGACATTCCTGTTATTCATGGCTCTCACCCTCCCAATTGTTTCATCATTGCGACAAAACCTCACTTCAGTTTATTTTTCTATTACTGTTCTTGCAGAAGGTATTTTAACTTGCATCTATAAAATCATTTAATAGTAATCAAATAAACCCACCCTTCCCTGTAGTACTATAGACCAGGCTCATACTGTACGTTACAGCAATAACAAAGTAGGCCAGGAGGCCTTGCTGTGTTGACATGAGTTTAGCAAATACTGTCACACCACATTCTTGAATTATTCAGTGTCACCATTATTTTCTCTGTCACCAACTTACTTGGATATACTGAGGGAAGAGGGGGAGAGTGTTTACCGAGTGTGATTATGAAATCCAATGGATTCCAGAAAACACCATGTGACAGATAAAAAATAAAACAAGCCTTGCTTTGCTTGAGCAGGCTCTGCATTTTGCAGTAGGTGCACTTGTTGTGTGTCGGCATTGGCGGGTAGGTAACTAAGCTTCTGATGATGCAACTTTTCTAACTTTAAGTGCAATCATTTTAAGACAGGAGTAATGAAGCAATTGGAGGGTAACTGGCATTCGTGTGAAGTAGACAAGAAAGATGCCTGGGCATACAAGAATCAAACTAAAGTCAACAACAAACTCTATGCGAGACACAGGTAAGAAAGTAGATAATAAAATTCCCTTTCAGATACTTATTCCAGGGAAGCTGCATTGGTTAGCAGTAAGAGCAAGGGAGGCATGAGGTCTAGGTACTATTCCTGTATCTGACTCCGATTCCTGTGCTTTGGCTTCCCCATCTATGAAATGGCAATAATGGTTATTCACCTAAGTAATGTGGCTTGAGATTGTTAGGTGAAAGGTACTATGTAAGTGCAAAGTATCAAAGTACAATTCAGAGGAACAAGGCATTAGGAAAACTTCCTCTTAACCGAAAAGGAATTTGCTAAGACGTGACAATTAGTCCCTGACAGACTCTGGAGCAGTACCCAGGAGCAATCATGGAAACACTATTGTATATCAGAAAGGAAATAGTAGCAATAAAAATGGCTTGATGTTGTATAGCACGGGCTTGGGCGGTTAAATGTTAAGTATCATGCCTAGGCCATAGTTGTTTGCAATGTTGTAGCCGTGTTGGCCCCAAGATATTAGAGCAGGGGTGGGCAAACTACAGCCCACGGGCCGGATCCAGCCCCTCAGGGCTTTGGATCTGGCCCATGGGATTGCCCCCCCGTGGTGCTGCAGACCCCGCGCCACTCTCAGAAGCGGCCGACCCCAATTCCCTGCGGCCCCGGGGGGGGGGGGGGGGCGCAGAGGGCTCCGTGTGTTGCCCTTGCCTCCAGGCACTGCCCCCCGCAGCTCCCATTGGCCGGGAACGGCGAACCGTGGCCAATGGAAGCTTTGGGGAAGGTACCTGGAGGCGCGGCAAGGGCAGCGCATGCGGAGCTCTCTGCCCCAATTCCCCCAGGGGCCGCAGCGCTTCCTGGAGCGGCGCAGCATGGGGCCAGGGCAGGCGTGCAGGGAGCCTGCTCTGGCCCCGGTGCGCGCTGCTGCCACCCCGGAGCCTCTTTAGGTAATTGGTGCTGGGCCGGAGCCCAAACCCCTCCTGCACCCCGCCGCCCAACTCCCTGCCCTAAGCCCTCTGCCTGCACCTCACACCCTTCCTGCACCCCACCCCAATCCTCTGCCCTGAGCTCCCTGTTGCACCCTGCACCCCTGTGCACCCCAATCCTCTGCCCTGAGCCCCCTACCATACCCTGCACCCCAACTCCCTGCCCTGAGCCCCTTCATACACCCCTGTGCACCCCAACCCCCTGCCCTGAGCCCCCTCCTGCACTCCTGCACCGCAACCACCTTCCAAGCCCCCTCATATGCCCCGCACCCCTCCTCTGCCGCCCTGAGCCCCTTCCTGCACACCGTACCCCCTCCCACACCCCAACCCCCTGCCCCGGCCCTGCATACAATTTCCCCACCCAGATGTGACCCTTGGCCCCAAAAGTTTGCCCACCCCTGTATTAGAGAGACATGGTGGGTGAAGTAATGTCTTTTATTGGACCAACTTCTGTTGGTGAGAGAGAGAAGCTTTCAAGCTCCACAGAGCTCTTCTTCAGATTATAGTGACTAATATTTGCACCTTGTGGCAATGACCTTTTCTTACTCCTTGGCCGAGAAGGGCCTCTCTCACTTTTGGATTTATGTAAATGATATTACACTCTGTCCTATCATGTGCATTCCTGCAGCAGCTAAGCACTCGGTCTTGCTACCACATTTCCATTCCTGATATCTTTGTACTTTAATTTTCTTAGGGGTGGGGAGAAGAGGCGTTCATTTGAAAAGCACTCTTGTGAGGTTAGAGCTTGTCAGAAGAGCGTGCTTGACAGCCCTGGATCCTGGAGCTCTGCTTAGCCATAGTACAGATACCCCAGGGGCAAAAGCTTCCCCAAACTACCCTTATGTGAAGAGACCATTTCTAGAGCAAAGGGGTCTAGTATTCAGGCTTACTCATTCCCTGGCAACAAAGCTGGTACTTGATCAGTTGTGGCACCGTGACTGGTTTGTTTTTTGTGAGGTGGACGCGTGGCACCTTAGGCTAGGTCCTAGCCTAAGACCAATCTCACTTCACGTACCTCATGTGGCCAGCAGATGGTCACTTGTCCCAGTCTCCTTGGAGCACCTAGTTTCCTAACATCTTCAAATTTTAAACAAGGCTTTCAAAAGAGCACTACCCAGTATCAGCCCCCACGGCTTTGCTGCCATGCTGAAATGCTTCTTTATTACACTTTCTAACTGGGCCAAGTTTATGATAAGTTCAAATTCAATCAAGTTTACAACTACTACATTTACATTTCATAATATACTAGAGCTCCTTCCCTGTGTATAAATAAGAGCAAGGTCTTACAACACAGAAATTCCCCAGTATATACTTTAGACAAGTGTGGCTCAGAATTAGCAATGAAAATTATTGCAGGTCCTGGAGGCAAAATTATGCTAGCGAGAAGACACAATGCAAGCAAGATTTAGGTGGAGACTTGACTGTATTCTCTAAGGCCCTATTCAGCAGAAATGATACATACCCTGCCCCATTGCTCCGTATCAGCATAATGTAGGTGTGTGGGAAGTTCCAGAACATGTTCCCACACCCTTTCAACCCTTTCATCAGAAAGTCTGGCCACTTATGTGTATTCTATTGAATAATTAAAGTGATGGAGACTGTGAGAGTACATCCTTTCACATACACATACGGCAAAATGCAGCCTTCTGCAGAACAAAATGCAGCCTCTGCTGCCCACAAAACTTCATTTTTCCAGTAACTCTATCTAAAAACTGGATTAGCAGTAGATGATCCTTGTGATAAGTAGGGCATAGACTTGAAGGCTTGCTGTTCCAGGCCAGGACCCCAACTCTTAGTAATCAGATGTTGCTCTCATTGACAATATGTTCTTTGAGATTGATCCAAGGCCCTTTACAAGCTGTGTGTGTATAAATTATATAAAAGAAATGGTTCACTCACTACTGAAGGGCGACTACCTCGGGATTGAAACGTAGCTACTGCTTAATAGCGTAAGGCAACATCACACACTCATTTCTGTAGCAACCTCCACTCATGTC